GGAGGGGGGGGGGGTACTTGCGCTGAAGTACAGTTCATGTGGGTAGTGGCGGTGAGGGTTGGTGTCTATGCCGCATGGGTCTGGAGCATGGACGTGGGCTGAAGCTGTTGAGGAGTAACCCAACGAGTCTGCAGCAACCAAAAATTATCATCGAGGAGGGGCGGGGGATGAGAGATCGTGTGTATGTAGAAAATGTGATGTGCGGCAACGGGGTGCCTTGCACGACTCGTTTGTACCCTTCGATGGCTAAAAGGTGGTGGCATCATGGATGTGACCGCCGCCCTTCCTGCGGAGGCGGCGGCCCGCCCTTGCTCGCGGTCGTCCTGACGACTTTTGCTGCATTCTTGCGTCCGGTCTCTCCCTGAAAGGTTGGGTCTATGGTGCTGACTAAAATGAAGGAGACCTCGGAGAGTTTCCTCGGGCGACCAGTTGGCAAGGCCGTGGTGACGGTGCCGGCCTACTTCAACGACTCGCAGAGACAAGCTACCAAGGACGCCGGACGCATCGCGGTAAGAGTCTGTTGTTGCCACAGCAGCGTTGTTGTCGGGTCTTGCGATCGTTTCAGGGCGCGAGACCGATTCGATTGGTGCCCTGCGTTGCAAAAGGATGCTTCTTTCGCTAGCGCGTCTTGACGACCAGGCAGAGGCCTTGGGGTATGGTCAGACAGAATCTCGCGGTGATGATGACACATTCGGAGTGAAGCGCAATCAGTCTACGGTGTGGGCCCCAATGGCGGAGAAGAGGGTCGCTCATGTGTTGCCAAAGAGCTCGTGTTGTTTGATGCCACATCTCCATGAAGCATGCGCTACAGACCCAATAGCAACAACCCAGCCCCCACTACCGTAGGGGTAGATGGACAAAACTGGCACCAAGTTCAAGAGACTTCCAAGGGTGGCTTCACTTAGTAGTGGTTGCTGTACTTTGTGCTTTGTGTTGGACTATTTAGCAAGTCTATTCATGTATCTACTTGAAGACGTGTGCCATACGGTTGGCGTTCGGCCATAGATTGTATTCTCACACGACAAGGTAAGACACCTGATTGGTGTTTCGTTTGTGTCATAGAACATCATTCCCCCGTCCAATCTTGATTTTGCAACAAGTGCGCGAAGATTGCTTTCCTGGTGTCTCTTGCTGCGTGTGGGCCTGTCTGGTTGGCCTTGATTGACTCTCTCTCTCTCTCTCTCTCGCCCTTTTGCTCTGTGTTGCATGCTTGTTTGCTTGCTCGTGCAGGGCTTGGAGGTGATGCGCATCATCAACGAGCCCACAGCGGCCGCTCTCGCGTACGGCCTGGACAAGGCGGATGGAAAGCTTATCGCTGTCTTCGACTTGGGTGGGGGTACGTTCGATATCTCCATCCTCGAAATCAGGTGTGTATGCACGGGTATCGTTGATGTCGTGGAACATCTCAAGCCCTGGTTGAGGTTGTTTTGCAGGGGGGCTTTATTTCGATTCAAACCATGTTCCACGTGTCATCAATCTCGTAAATATCAACTGCACGTTATATCTGTTGCTCTGGGGTTGACTTCGTTTTGGGCAGCAATTTTTGTTGTCTTCCTTTTCCTGTGGTAGGAGGGCGCCCCAAATTTCCACCAGCTCCCTCCGCCCCTCCCCCGCCGTCCGCCCGGGCTCCGTGTTTGGCTCACGTATTTCCCCCCTGATTTTGTAAACGGGATTATGAGATTTCAACCTCTCAACTAGAACCTCGTGCCAGACAGGAAAAAAAAACGTCGGTCACTCATAAAATTACTACCAGTTGAAGTTGTAGCAAGCCTTCACAAGTTTGTTGGGTTGCGGTGAAGTCAACTACTCACTACAACAACCCAAGTTTGGGTTTTTAGTTGGTTACCGCCAACGGAAAGGGTCCCCCTGGATAGACATGCTCGTTGATGGGTGCTGGCGATGACGAGAATTCCCACTTGCGCCTAGACGCCAACCAGACAGTCAACTGTCGGTGAGGCTGCAAATTCCTCTAAGAAGTTCCGAGCCTCGGTTGTACGTAAGCACCTAGCTGCGCCCAAAGGGGAGGCGCTCCTACGAGCTTGAAGTTCTTGTCGTTGTTAAACTGTCCCCGCAAGGGAGCAGCGTTTCTTCCTCGTCTGAGCCAAAAGTCTTGAGATGCATAGACCCCAACTTTTTCCGGACAGTAACCTGTAAGTCTCGTACGATACGTATTGCGTCTTTTGCTTGAGGTCGTGAGTCATGACGATACGAAACGCGCTCTCGTTTCTTTCTTTTGTTTGTGTTTCACAGTGGGGGCGTGTTTGAGGTCAAGTCCACGAACGGTGACACCATGCTCGGTGGGGAGGACTTCGACGAAGTGCTCCTCAAGGTGGGGCAAGCACAGAGAGACGCCATTTTGGATAACGGTCATGCGCGGCATCAGTATGAAAGATAAACCAAAGAGTGTCGATTCTGCATTGAAGTACGATTTCCTCCAAGATGTCCCAAGCCTCGTCGGCGTTTTTTATGCATCCTTGTGCGTACAGGAGGCTCTTCAGGCCACCGTGTCCAAAAACAGAGAGCTGTCTTGTTCATGTTGTAGGGGAGCGGCGATGACGAGAATTTTCACTTGCGCCTAGACGCTAACCAGACAGTTAACTGTCGGTGAGGCTGCAAATTCCTCTAAGAAGTTCCGAGCCCTTGTACTTTGCCCAGCAATGTCCGTAACCATCCAAGACATTCGTCAGCTACCCCTACACTGCTATTTCGAAAAGTATGGATTTGAGTGATGGCAAAGTCCACCTCAATTCACATGCATGGAAGATATAGACTACGCCTGTGTATGGAATTAACTTGTGAAGTGTGGGTTTCGGCTGATGATGGAGGCGTTATCCACGATTTTCGGAACACTTTTGTCTCAAGCGTGGAAGCCCATTAATCCGTTTTACAGTCACGAACGGGAGGGCTCTTGAAATGCAAAGATTGTGCGATACATCTTATCCACCGCGCCTCGGTGATGGTCCGGATTTCCGTTCTTTTTCCCCTTATTTCCAATGTGTTTAACGCAAAGATGTAAACAAATGGTGCAACAGGATGCATGTTGTCTGTGTTTTGTCCATTTTGTTTGTCGTCCCTTTGACGTGACCGAGTTTGCTGGCCGCGTCTGTGGTGCCACGTGCTGGTAACGCTGCTGTACCTGCCAACACCGGGCATCCGTCGAAACAGCACCTTCTGTCGGAATTCCGCAAGGAGTCCGGCATCGACCTGTCGGGGGACACGTTGGCGATGCAGCGTCTGCGTGAAGCGGCAGAGAAGGTGGGATGGTAGATGTCGTAGATTCTTTGTGGTGTGCAAGTCAATTGCAGGTTGTTGTCTGCACACAGGCGTAGCTGCGGGCGCTGATTTGCTTTTAATCTACGGTTGCTGTTTGTCAGTGAGCGAATTCCGTGCGTGATGATGACTCGCGGGTCAACTGTTTTTTGTCAGGAGTCCCGCGAGCACCGTTAATAGGGGATAATTCGAAGAGCTGTGCTTGACAATGAAAAATAACCTCTTAACCCCTATGTGCACGACGAGCCACGCTCTCCTGCGGAAGGTTTTCTCGAAATTCGGGCACCAGCTGGGATGAAGGTTGTCAAGGTTCCTCTGGCCGCTCCTAGGCAGTCCAGTGTTTTCCTGGCACAGCATGCTGCGTGCACCAGCCGTCTTCCGTGTCTTGTTTTTACGAAGACACCTTGGTACCCACACGTGAGCCCGATAATTATTTTGGGTTGTTTGGACTACGATTATTTCAGGCGAAGCGGGAGCTTGACGGGATGCCCCAGACGGACGTCTCCCTCCCGTTCATCACGGCCGACTCCTCCGGCCCTAAGCACATGAACGTGAAGGTGACCCGGGCGGAGTTCGAGAACCTCGTGGACGGCCTGATCGAGAGGGCCATCAAGCCCTGCAAGGACTGCATGCGCGACGCGGGACTGTGAGTTGGTTACACCTTCGCCCTTCTTTCTCTCTGTCTCTTTGCTGGTGGGCTGGGGATAAAGAGTTGGAGGCAGGGGACTGTAGGCTTCTCTTTGTCGCCGAATAAAGAGTACGTGGTCGGAATTATCGACTCCTCGCGACACCGGATGATTTTATTTTTGTCCATGCATCCCTCCGTTTACCGTGTATCCACTTTGAATCGAGGAACGAAACACCGTTTCGTGCGCACGTCGTACCATTTTTTTTTTTCCATCATTGGACTCTGTCGTCTGCCTCTCTGGCCCATATCCTCCACTTCTACAAGCTAGACGACCCAACCGGGGTCACATGTGCCTGTCGCGTGTACGTATCGGCGGACGAAAACTTGGCGGTAAAACAGGAGAAAATATTGAGCATACCTCTCAGTAGCACTATTTTAGGATGACTGCACTGAATACACGAGCTGGGGCAGGAGAGAACGAGGCCTTTCCCATGGCCCCGCCCACCCTCCTACAACATGCCATTCAAGCAAGAGAAATAACGACGTTTTGGAACTCGGCGCACCTCTCCCTTGGCGTCCGAGTTTTCGGAGCGCCGAACATTTGCGTCCCTCCCCCCTGACCTTTTCCTGGTTTTTTATTTCGGTCCCCCCGAGTATTTGCACAGACCCACCGCCTTCGGTATTTCCCCTGCCCGTACAGCTTAAGCGAACCTTCCGCTTTTTTACCGCGTACGGCCTCTCCGTCTTGATCATGGAAGAAGGTGGAATAAACTGGCATGTTCTTGCACTCGTCGTTCATTCCTGCCTTTCTAGATGAGGTATCCAGTGGGCGAACACGTTTGATTTCCGACTCGACTCAATCCAACTAGTAACTCTTGAGCATAAGTCAACCCCCACGCCCTTCAGGCCACATTGTCCTCATCGACTTTTCACTAGGAGGATGTACAGTAGCACAGCAGTACTTGAAGTAGCCCCGTGGCCTTTTCTCCCCACTGATATCCACGGTTGTTCGATGCTGACGTGTTTCGTGGTGCTTGTCGATTTTGCGTTCTCAGCGAGACCAACGAGGTGCACGAGGTGCTTCTTGTTGGCGGCATGACCCGCATGCCAAAGGTCCAGTCGAAGGTCGAGGCGTTCTTCGGCAAGCCGCCTTCCAGGGGAGTCAACCCCGATGAGGTCGTCGCCATGGGGGCTGCGATCCAGGTGAAGATAAAACAACGACGCTTAGCACATATCTTCCTACGACTTGTTCGCGGTGCAACGTTTCAGTTGATTTTGGTTGTGTACGGGTGTAGAGATGGAGGCTACGTTTATGTTGTTTCGGAGAACAAAAACGCTTTCGAATTGTGAACAGCCAGGACAGGATGGGCCACGATGCGCCTGTGCGATCAACCCCGCCAAGACGGTGAGAGTAGGGCTGCCCTTACAAGACAAGGGGCACCGAGCGTCAAGCGTCATGCCCTAGTTGCAGCCGCCGTGGGTGTTTTTTTTTTTCGCGATTGCTGGGACTGCTGTTGTGGTAGGGTGGCCGAGGCAAGCCAAATCTAGAGCCACTCTCTCCCGCGTGATTCAAGAAGAGGAGACGTGTCCGAGTCATCCGCTGTGTCAGCCACTGCAGAGTCGACTTATTTTTCGTGGAAATTTGGAGGTTGAACCGTAACCCGTTGTCAGCTGGGGCAAGAGAGCGCGGGGCCTTTTTCCCGTGGTCCCGCTCGCTTTTCTTTGTAAACTGCCTATCAAGCAAGAGTGAAACCGCGACGCAATGGAACTCTGCGCACCTACCTCATAGCGCCCGGGTTTTCGGAGCGTCGCACAGATGCGCACACCCGTCGTGTCTACGTCTCGCGTGAAGACCTTCATGGACGTATGTCATCGTTTCTATTTGGTAGACCCCTTGTGTGGATTGTAGGGTTTGGGAGGGCTCGCTCAGTGCTAGGAGGCGCGTTTGCATCAAATGTGCATCAGTGTACAGTAGTCAAGGGCGCTGCACTCTGACTTGGAGCAACCTAGCGTAATTAAGCGGTGTCGTTGATGGTGCTACGATGTGGCCTGCCGACTGTAGCTAGTCCCTGAAATAACGCGTATCAGCGTTCCTCTGCTAACGGTCAACGGCTGCTCCTCTTACTGTTGGATTGCTGCGGTGGTGCTGACAGGGAGGTGTCCTGAGGGGAAGCGTGAAGGACATCCTGTTGTTGGACGTGACCCCCCTGTCTTTGGGTATCGAAACGCTCGGCGGCGTTATGACCAAGCTCATCAACCGTAACACCACCATCCCGACCAAGAAGGTCCAGGTGAGACAGACAGGCGAAGCCACACGCCGCCATTTCAGGCACGATACAATGCCCGTGCAAACCATTTTGCTGTGGACAAGTTACAATGCGTAGAGTAATATAAAGCCCCTGCTCGGATACACGACTCCTTTTGCAAACTGGACGACATAACCTTCGGCGGCAATCAATTCACGCTAAATGCGGTTCCCGTGGGTATCGTCCGAGCCCACTTCGACTCGAGAAACGTCGATTTCTACAAGTATGTCTGCTTTTTTTTTATCACCCGCGAGTGCGTAATAGCGACGAGACTACAGTAGGGGCACTGCGGCTGGGTTTCTTTTGCCAATGGAGGCGTCGACAGTCGTAGTATTCTTTACTTTACAGGACTACCCTGGAGTAGCCCACACGGCTGTTGGAACCCCACGCCGTACTCGCACGGACCGCCATCCGAACGCAACTGGACCACCCGGTTTTGTTTTTCAGGAACGAGGCGACTTACGGACTAAACGGACGCGTGCCTTTTTGGTTTGTTATTTTTTGCAGACGTTCTCCACTGCGGCGGACAACCAGAGCCAGGTGCAGATCAAGGCGCTCCAGGGGGAGCGTGAGATGGCCACCGACAACAAGATGCTCGGCCAGTTCGACCTCGTCGGCATCCCTCCCGCACAAAGGTGACCCACGAAAGCCGAGACGGGACTAGGCTAGGCGTACAGGGCGCATGGTGCTGCAAGAGCCTTTGTGTCATCATGTTTTGTCATAAGGCAATGGATGGGAGCCAACTCCGCCCTCCAACCCGTCAGCCAGGATGTTGTCATTTATGTAGTGTATTGCAGTGAGCGTTTCGTGATGAATTTTGGTGTCTGGCAAAGAGGAGCGCCGTAGGGTAAGGGGCCTTCGCCTCTCCACCATTCCACCATGACCGTAGACAGCACCAGTTGCCGCGGCACGCTGCAGTGTTTGGGTTGGATGGAGCATTCGCCATGACTCTGGTTCAACCCCGAGCCATCCCCGCGCGCACGGTAGATCTGATCCCACCGCTTTTGCATCTGTGGTGGAACACTTTGATATGAAAACCGTGTCCCGCACGCGACTGGTATCCTACTTGACGTGTGCAACTTTGTTTGATTCACCTGCCCGTCGACATTTATCCTTGCACACGATTGACATCATACTTGACAAGCGGAACTCTGTTTGGTTTCAATGGCCCCTGGTGTGGTGTTGCAGGGGTGTGCCGCAGATCGAGGTCTCGTTCGACATCGACGCGGACGGCATCTTGCACGTGGGCGCTAAGGACAAGCAGACCGGCAAGGAACAGAGCATCGTCATCCAGAGCTCTGGAGGACTCGGGGAGGTGAGAAGAGCACCTATCCCCCCCTCCCCCCCCTCGCCCTATACGACATGTTTGAGGCTAGACCATTAATCGATTGGTTCTGATGGGGTTCGTTCTGCGCGCGAATTCACCGCGAGCGAGCGTCTACGCTTTTACTTCGGTGACGTTTTGGTTGATTCGATTTTTGTTTGGTTAGTCGTGGTGGAAGGCGGAACGCCTCTGCGTGAACTTTAGTGTTCAGCGGCAACCTCCAACGTTATCCTTGCTGACGCTCGAAGAACTCACGAGTTTGTCTGCTCCCCTGTGCGACAACGCCGGCCGCGGCTCAGCTTCAGTATGATCTTCAAGCATTAACGCCGTTTTATTTTGTTGCTTTTTTTTTTCTTGATGTGATTTCGGTGACTTGTAGGCCGACATCGAGAAGATGGTGAGAGACGCGGAGGAGCACGCGGAAGCCGACAAGAAGCGGCGAGACCTCATCGAGGCCAAAAACAGCGCAGACTCAGCCGTATACGGGTAAGTTCGTCACAGGCGAGACCTCATCGAGGCCAAAAACAGCGCAGACTCAGCCGTATACGGGTAAGTTCGTCACACCACCCAGCGCATGTCCGTTGTTTCTTCCAGCAAGGAGAAGAAAAATCCATTTTCAACGCTTTCCTTGCTCAGATCTTAAACGTGAACACATACAGCGTTGGAGCTTTGCTGGACAACATGGTCCTTCCTTCCATGTTTTTGTCATTCTTGAAGGTACGACCAAGTCACAACCTCACTCACCCGTTTTTCCGCTTCTTGTCAGTAGTCAAATGTCTGGACGAATGTCTCTCCCTGCACACGAAGCAGCAGCAGACCGTGTTTATTTATTCCGATCACCGCAACTCTCGCCGCATGGCGTCCCTCCTGGAACTTTTCTCTTTCAGCACCGAGAAGAACTTGTTGGAGCACAAGGACAAGATCCCGGAGGACGTGAAGGCAGACGTGCAGAAGGCCATCGACGAGCTCAAGGCCGTCATGGAGTCTGAGGACACCGAGGAGATCAAGGAGAAGGTCCAGGCGCTCCAGGTCAGTCGTTGAGCGGTCAAATCCGTGCACTGTAAACAATGATGGAAGCACTGCTTGCCTGCCTTTCACGATGTTTTGATAACGCGTGCACAGAGGGTCCCAGGGCTTCGTAGCGCGTTGGGCAGATGTGCGGATGTGCTTGGGGTGACAAACACGTGTTTGCGAATTGGGTGTCGCAGCAGCAACAATGTCTTGTGTGCGGCATCTGCTGTCTGCAGCCTTGATGAACCCTTTGCCTTCACATCTTTCTTTGTTTGCGGATAACGTTGGCGTTCTCTTAATAGGCACGACTACACACCAAAAAGTCGTCCAGAATACCGACCTTGTTCACGCAGTGCAGACAGCCACAATTTTCTTCGTTTGAGCGAATGCTAGGTGATACGTACGCTGCTCTGACCTTGCACACAAGCTATCGCACTCGTGTCTCACATGAGATATGGCTCCCAGGCAAGACAGCAGAGCCGCATTGAGACTCACCACAAGCGTAACCCCAACCAACCCAACATAGTTATGGTAGATACGCAGGAGAGCAGATCAAGAGCATGACACGAAAGTGCGGAAATGGAACCTCAACCCCCCCTCGTCCCCCTCACTTCCTTGGCCTTTTTGACAGACGGCGGCGCTCAAGATCGGTGAGGCAATCTACGGCAACAAGGGGGCGGCGGGGGATGATGCGGAAGGGGCGCCAGATGGGGGCGACGTACATTCCGACAAGGAAAACATTCAGGACGCGGAGTTCGAGGAGAAGAAGGAGGAGGGGGAGGGCGAGAAGAAGTCTCAATGAGTGGTTGATAATTAGGAAAGCTCTTGGAATTTTCTTTCGGGATGTTGAAGTAGTAGTTTTTGTCTCACCGGCGGGTGTTTTTGTTTGCAAGAGTTGCCCCAACTCAAGCGTACGACCAAAGGTTCAGGGAGGGAGAGGGTATTGAGGCGGGTGATTGTGTTATTTCTTACGTGTCCGTCCTTGGTTGCAGCAGGTTCAGTTTAGAGGGTTGGGAACGGGCGAAGGCTGTTTGCCGTAGACTGCTCGAGATGGATGATTATTTTGCCCACGCGATCATGGTTGCAGCTATTTTTGCTTCGGTGGTCCTGTTTTTCAAAAAATTTGTTCTGCCGCTTTGTTTCTTTTGGATAAATGGAACTCAAAGTTGAATGCAACGGCGTACGTCGAGGTGCTCAAAACCCGACCACACGGCAACGACATTTGGCCCAGGATATCGCCTGTTCGGGTGTGAAATACAATAGTCACAGAGCTTCAGTGCCCGTACGTTGTCTCAAAGAAGAGTCAGAAGTTGGGATGCATGACTCTAAGGCTGTATCCACGTGCACACCGTGACGTGCGCAAATTATCGCACACACCCCAACCGACTTTGACAGCTTCAAGGCCCAACGGACCAACATACCAAGGAGGGTGGTTTTGGAAAGCGTTGAAAGGTGATTCCTTGCTTCCATCGGTCGGCTTTCGAACCCTTGGATGTAGAGCAATGGAGCTTTTGAACGTCTCACTCTGGCGTGTGTCGACTTCGCACCTTTAACGGTGGTCGGTCGTTGTTTTGTCGGTCTCTACTCAGCACCTTATAATACCCATACCGGTCCAACTGACTTGGGCCCCTTGCGTGTGCAAGGGCCAACAACCCCAAAAAAAGGGTAACACGGACCTAAAAGTCACGCGGGAAAATAAACGGACTCGGAATATCCTCAAACTAACGCGATAGCAGCTCAAGACAAGCTGGAAAGTGATCGGACCCGGGAACACAAGGAAACTTGGAGGCCCCCATCCAAAAACAATTACGAGGGAGAGCCCATCGCTTCGGATCGGCACGTGACGCCGAGCAAACAACTTAGAGTCGCCTGAATGTATAGCTGTGCCCCTGACGCCATAATAACGCCGGCTATGCTTTCTTCTCCACATGTGGTTCTGAAGACACTCCACTTGACGACAAAGTACAGCAGCAGATGCAGGCACCGCTGCCTAGCACCGTCTCATGTTGTGGGGCAATGAAGCTGTGAGGGGGAAGGAGTTGGCGATGTAACGGCGAGGGTGCCAAAGGCAACACATCAGTCAGTCCAGATGGATGGGACGTGTCCTTTGACCACACGTTGGGTGTCCGCCAAGCGTGCAGCAATGTGCGTGCGCGAGCCATCGCTAGACAGCAACGCTGCAGCGCCGGGAGACGAGGGAAACTTTTTGAAGCCTTTGCCGTGACCCGGGAAAAACGGTGCCCCACCACGATTCGACTCTCGTTACCTTGGACCCATTCTTGGGCAAAGGAACAAGAGTCAAACATCTCAACCTGCCGTCTGGGGCAATTTCTCTGGGGAGAGGAGAGGATCCCATATCAAATGTAAGGCTCTCGATACGCCAAAATACATGTACCCCCGAAACAGCAACAGTGGTATCTACATCCAACAAGCACCCACCAAAGCACGCGAAAAAGCAGTCAAAAGCACGCACAGCACAGCGCCCTGTCTGCCGAGAAACGAAGAGTTCGCGCAACACCCTCAGCCAATGAGGAACCGACAGGACGACACCAAACCTCACTTAACGGACCGTCCGACCCGTCATTGGACTCTAGAGTACGAAACATCAAACGGAGGAAACAAGTCAGTTTCCCCTGGACAAGAGGCACAACAACGGCATGTCTCGTCCACCCACCACCCCCACACGGCTATCAACCAATTCCAAGTTTACCCGCCATGGCCATGACAAAAATCCGCACCTTTAGACATGGCACAAGATCAGACTATTAATATTTAGCTGGCGGTGTCGTCCATGTCCCCTGTGCCGCCATCATTTTCTTCAGCGAACCAACAGGCCAACAGGCTAATTGCCACGCATCATTCTTTGCGTCGTACCATCTCCTCCCAATCGCAGCGGAAGACCTCTGACCGGTCACATGTAGCGTCCAGTCCCCCCCTACCGAAGCCACATTTTGGCTGAAGCTACTTGCATCTCTACGCTCGCCTGCAGAAGCATCATAGAGTCAGCCCAAAGAAGCACGAATCGAAATCATCACCGACCGAATATACATGCCCGCCCAGGGTCTACTTCCCGTACCACTCGTAGCTGAAGCTCCCTGCGCAAGAGGTGATCTGCTTCACGCCCAGGAAGGCCTCGAGACCCCACCGTCCCAGCTCCCTGCCGAAGCCGCTCTTCTTGTAGCCGCCCCAGGGGGCCTGGATAAAGGCGGGCTGGGAGCAGTTCTGCCACACGATTCCGACTCGGAGCGCACGGGCCACGCGCTCGCACCTTAGCATTTCGAGCACGGTGCGTACACGACGATCGGTGGTCGGGG